GCCCCTGAGAGCAAGTCTGGGTTAGGTTAAAATTATATATGTATATGGTTTTGCGAGCAGAAGTAAAATGTTTACAGGCATTGCATTCAGATACCACATAATAAGGCTGGCTGGGCTCCCTTTAAGGACAAGCTCTAGGGATCTGTGTTCATCTGATACTGCCCCCCCCAGGTCAGACTTGGCCAGAGACCTTGAAAAGAAAGGGGTACTTCTGTGAGCCTTTTGGCCCAAGACCCAACTTCCTCCCTGCCAGGGGCCCTGATCCCACTGCAGTGTTTGCACTTAAGGTAGAACCTCCTCCCAGTCACTGCATACAGAACGCCTGCTCCTTCTCACCCCAAGCTAAGCAGGGATCGCCAGCCTCTTCCTGTCCTACCACCCGTGGCCCCTTAATTCCCCTTCACTCCCTGGAATCCTTGACCAGGCCTGTAGGCCGTGCCAACCTGCCCTGAGGTACTGATGTGACTCAGAGCACACAAGGCAGATGCTCCAGGGCTGCCCACCTCCCTCTGATGGAACATTCTAACCTTTCTTCCTGGACACAGCTTCTTGCTCTATTTCGGGTCTGAGTAATCCTTCAGGCAGCCCTGGGTCAGGAGTTGTGACGACCAGGCAAGTCTCTGGTTATTTAACCACCTCAGGTCTCCTCCTGTGTATCGTCTTTCGTCATCACTTGTGGACAGGTATTTGCCTTCCTCCCCTATGCCGATCATGGTGCCAGCACTGAGAACATGAGCTGATGTCTAGATCCACAGCTAACTTCTCGCCAGGACAGGACATATACAGTGTCCTGAGACGAAGACAGTGTCAGGGGTTCCCAACAGCACCCCAGATCCAGCAATTTACTAGGACGACTCCCCATTATGGTTTATGACAGTAAAAAGATACAACACAGTCAACAAAGGGAAAAGTTGCATGGAACACTGTCCAGAGGAAACCATGCTGTCCCACAGGAGTCACAAAGGATGCACTTAATGTCTCCAGCCACGAATTGTGACAACAGGCGTAAAAATGGTGCAAAATGAGGACTGCACCCTCCACCACCCACAACCAGTCAAGTCCTGCCTTCCTCTCCTAGCAGCGTAACAAACCTGCCCCACGAACCTTACGAACAAACTATATTTACTTACATTAAAATTGTTATTAGGTCCATGGATGTGTTTCCTTTTGATTTTTTTTTTTGTATCTATGAAACTGCTCAGGTGTCGGGTTCGGATAAATCTTAACTTTTCCCATTAAAATTAATGGAAATATTTTTTCATATGTGGGCTTGTCACTTAGCAGCAGGGTTTTCAGGAATAAATTAGTCACTAAGCGAAGTACAGGTATAAATTTAAAAGAAAGGTGCAACTATCTAGGCGACAGCAACAAAAGGACAAATATTAAAATATCAATCAACCCAAGACTAACATATAAACCAAAAAAGTAAAGGTTTTCAAAGAACATGTGAAGCAAACATGATTCAAAATAATTAGAAATAAAATGAAAGCCAAAAATACCCTTAAGACAGAGAACCTTAAATTACCTAAAACTAAGTTTATCACTAATTTTTAAAGTACAACGCATAAATTGTTGCAGAAAGCCTTCAAACAACAGAGTGTAAGAACCTGTGTCCTCTCTGTTCCCAATGCACCCAGCACAAATAGCTAGGATTGTGTCATCAACTTTCTTCCCAAGAGGGTCTCCGTAACCCTCTGAACAAATGTTTCAGGTCCCCATTTCCACCTTCCCCTGCCAACGTGAGACTTCATCAGCGTTTTTAGTTTCTGCCAATCTGAAGGGCCCAAACCCTCACTGGTACCTACATTTCTCTGATGGCAGGCAGGTGGCGTCCTTCTGCTTCCCTCTTGTGAACGTCCTGTGTATCACAGAGGCTTCGCTGCTGTAACAGTGACCGCATTGTCTCAGCGTCTTACAGCATCTCACTCTTTATCACTTCACAGAGAGCTCTGCTCAGTTACCTTCTCCGGACCAGCCTGCAAGGGCGTCCCCATCCAAGACAGGCTGCCGCTATACACAGTAGACAAGAAACACAGAAGGCCCAGCCAAGCCATGCCTGACACTGAAGACATGTGTTTGGATATGGCATCTCAAACTGCTTACCTTCTATTGGCTGAAGTGTCACAGCCAGCCCGGACTGTGGGTCGGGGAAGTGTCCCCCTCTAACAGAGTGAATGATGCACATGGGATGTTAACACTGATAACAGGAAACAGGATTATTATGGACTAGACTGTCCCATTTTTCTATTGAATCCTTTGTTCCTTTTTGATTTGTAGGATTGCTCTACACATTCTGGATTTATTCTTTTGTCTCTTATACATAGTACATGTTTTTTCCTAGTCAGTCCCCTCTCTTGTAAACTTGTAAGCTTGTTTGCTATGCAAAATTTTAAAATTTTGATGTAAACAAGTTTACTCACCTTTTTCTTACACATTTTTTATGTTAGATTTTCTTGCCTTAATGAAATAAACAATTCCTGTTTTCTTTCAATATATGAATTGTTCTATATTTAGCTCTTCAATCTATCTGGAACATTCTTTTTCAAAAATATTTGTTTTCCAACACCATTATTGGACAGTTAGTTCCTTTTCCACTGATTTAAAATGCCTCTTCTATTGTAAGTTAAATTTACATGTATAAATGGGTGCCCCCCCCCATCCCGATAGCGATTCTCTTTCATTCCATCAACTTGTTTTCTGGTCTATGCTGATACCACCTTATTCTAGGGGTGGCGCTCCACACCATGTCCTGATATCAGAGTGACAGATGTCCCTTCATTCTTCTCTGTCAAAAATGTTTTGGCTGTTCTTGCACATTAAAAAAAAAAGAATCTAAATGAAATTGAGAATAGGTGTATTGTATTACTTATTAATATGCTGTTAATATCTTTTCGTTGTAATGACTGCATTGTATTCCACCACACAGGTGCACCAACATTTATCGACTTCCACTACATCACTTCCTTTCCCACAATTATAAGCCACAATGTGATGAAACACTTGTAGCTCAATCTTTGCTGATTTTACAAGTGTTTTTCTTATGATGAATTTCTAGACAGCGAACTGCTAGGTTAAGGTTATTGATATTTTTCTTGCAGACATGCTTTCCCAATTTACAGCGTTCCCTGTTCTTGTCTTTCATGACACTGACATCTGATGACTGATGGGGTTAGTGTATAAACAGCCTCCCCCGAGTGGGAAGCAGGTCGACTCCACTGTGCTCAGGGAACCACACTGTTGCCCGTGGTGACAGCTGCTTGACAACGTGCATGCTGCTTTCTGTCCCTGTCTCAGTGCCCACTGGGGTCTGGGTCCTCTCCCAAACCCTCGCGTCTAAGTCTATTCTGGGGAACCAAGGATTATGATTTGAGCACAAATGACACATTAACAAAACTGACCATATGCCCAGTCATCAAGACTCAACATTTTGCAAGAGATTGAAACCATGTAAAACATATTCCCAACCCAACTGCAATTAGGCAAGATAACTAGAAAAATCCCCATGTTCATAAATTAAGAAATGTAATTTTCAACCTCTAAATATTCAGGGAATCCATGAAAAAAGCAAATAGCAAGCCACACTCTGGGAAATCCATGTGTATGCAGAAAATTAGTGAGCTAAACATTCATGTCAAAATTGCAGAAAACAGGAAATTAGACCCAAAGAAAGTAGGTAATACAGACGAGAACTAAGTTAAAAGCAAATGCACAAAATAGTTATCACCAAAACCCAAGCAGATCCTGTGCAAAGGTCCATGAACTTGATAAAACCCTGCCTGTCAGTCAAGGCTGATGAAGAGGAGGAGGGTATACATAATCAGTGTCAGGAACAAAAAAGGGACTGTCATTAGATTCCATAGACCCTAGAAAGACAATCACGACATTCTGAACAAACTTGTGGCAATCTGAAAATTCGGATCATGTGAACAACTCTTGAAAACACACAATTTACCAACACAGACCCTCCACCCCGATGGCCTCAGGACTTGCCTTGACCCACAGTGTATGGCACAGGCTCGGGGTGTCCATTCTGCTCCCTGAACCCGAAGCCACTCACACGGAGCCAGTCCAGCCAACTGGATGCTCTGATGGGGGGTCTTGCCCCAGTGTTATCGTACTTCAGAAGCCACTCAGGCAAATGGGGTTGGCTAGAAGCACAGAAACCGGAGGGCTCAGTCCACAGCCCAAGGAAACGAGCTGGGGACAGAAACCAGCAGGACCTCACAGCCTTTAAGGGACCACAGGACTGACCAGCAGTGTCCGCCCTGACCACTTGGACTTCCACCTCGCTCCCACACATCTGATAGCTGCCATTGCCTCAAAGATGGTCCCCAGGAAACCCTGGCTTACTTTCTAAGCCAGAGTGTAGGCCTCAGGTTTCAAACCTGAGGAGTTGGGAGAGGGGTGCAGCCCCGGGAATGCTGGGACCCTTCCCATAGACCTGCCCCTGTTGGGGGAACCTGTGATCATCAGCTGTGCCCATGGAAGTTGTCACTCGAGCAAGGCCGGGAAGAAGCTGTGGCAGCCATGGCTGCGCAGGTCCATTCGTGCTCTTCTGTGTGCTGAGCGCTGTCATCTGACCCCCTCTGCTCAGGGCAGGGGCCGCTCGACCCCACAGAGCAGGCTGAGTGCTAGACAGTTGGGCCCACAAAAACAGCCCTTGGTGACACACGGGGGCTGAGGGATATCCTGTGCAGTCTCCCAGAAGTCCCCATCGGGACTGGGCCCCCGTTTCCCAGTCTATTGCTTGACTGCTCTGAACTCGGGAGGAAAATGTATGACCCTAAGCTTCAAGACACTTAAAAAATGGGCAAGTGCTGGTGTGGTGAGAGGAAAGGCCTGTCACATGTCGGTGCAGGAGACAGGAGATGGCCGCTGGCAGAGTTAACAAGGGGAGGGGCAGGCCCTTCCTTGCACACTCGGTGACACTGGGCACAGAGGATGGGTTTCTGCCCAGCCAGCTGTCCAGGGCCCGCAGGGGCTAAAGGCATGACTCAGAGCCCAGTGTACAGAGTCTTTATTTAGTTTTGAGTCCCGACGTCCAGGGTCCTCAGGACAACACCTGGCCACTCTCCAGGGCTGGGGGCACCAAGTGGCCAATCACTCCTGTCGTTTTCCTAAGGTCCAAAGTGTCCTCAGGAGGCAGGAAGTGGCTGTGTCTGTGAAAAAACATGTCAATGTCTAGTAGCTCCCGCTCTGTGGCCAGCCCTGGGACCCCGAGGGGAGGCTGAGGAGACACAGCAGAGGCTGTCCCTGCAGAGTGCATGGTCTGGAGGGACAGGGTGTCAGGTGACCACCTCAGCCACCTGCCACATGAACACGAGATGCAGTGAAGTGTCACTTCACTTCACGGGGGCAGGGAAGGCAGCTCTGCTGTTGTGTCTGCCACCACTACAGGGATCAGGCACCAGCAACGGATGTGGCAGGCACAACTCTGACAGACAACACATGAACAAAAGTATGTCAACTGACAATGTCCAAGAAGAAAGTAAGTTACACAAAAAGGTGTGTGGGGCTCAGGGATACTTCACGCATCGGCCACATGAACAGACAAGAGATAGGGACAGAGTGGGAAGGACAACTGGCTCTAAGGTGGGAAGGTGGGGTCTTTACTCTCAGACGCCAAACACCTTGAAAGAAACGTCACCAACGTGATGAGGGAACAACAGGCGGTCGTTGCCAAATGTTTCCTGAGAAGAATGGAGGCCCTGCCTGTCAGTGGCTCTTGGGGCCTGAGGCTCTCCCTTGTCCCTGCCTCACAAATCATGACTGCTGGGCCAGGGATAGAGCTCCTCTGAAGCACATGGGAGGGCAGTGACACTGAGCCATGGTGAGGGGGCTCGGGGACATAGGCCCTTGGGGAAGTTTGCTGAGGTGACATCTAAGCAGGGATAGGAGGGGCAGTCTAACCGCAGGAGACACATCCCTGGGGCTGGGCCGCAGGGCTTGAGGCCAGAAGGGGAGAGGGGACCACAGGAGCTGAGACCTGGCCTGTGGAAGAGTTTTCAGGTCAAGCAGAACATGCTCACACTTCCTCAGGGGCACTCTGGGACCATTAGAGGACAAACTGGCTGAAAGGGGTGAGAAGAAAATGGAGGCTCAAGAGGAGACGGGGTGTCACTGGGGCTGGTAAATACGTGATGTTTGCCTCTAGAGCTCACTGTGCTTGCTATAAACAGCCAAACCTGGGCTCTCAACTTTTTTGCCAATATGGCCCCAAGGGGTCTTTTTGGACATTTATTTTAAACTGCGCCATCCATGACATTTCAATGCCTTAGATACACTGCACCTGTGTCTGTGCTGGAGACAATAAAAACAGTGGGACCATCACCCCATGCTCAGCCCCTGCTGGGACTGATGAGGGGCCCGGGGAAGGCAGGCGAGGTGACAAAGGGAGCTGATCGGTCTCCTGGGAGGACAAGAGAGACAGCCTGGACCTGGAGTTTTGCTCAGTGAGGACAGGAAGCCACTGCTGAGCTTCATGTAAAGGAGTGCTGTTACTAGTTCTCAGTTCTTAGGCGCTCTCTAGCCTCTGTACCCAGGCAGGTATCTGGGGACTTGAGCAGGTGGCAGGACTAAAGCCGAGACTGTGTACCCGTCCACGCGGGCAGGTGGGGTTGTGGGTGACCCTGGTCTCTACCTGAATGGCTGCAGGAGGGCGCTGTGGCGGCACCTGCTCGGCACACTGCAGGAAGCGGCGCACTTGCTCTGCACACTTGCCCGCAGACGCCTCGTTCTGCCGCAGACACTCCTCGAAGGCCTCGAAGGGCTCGGCGCAGGCCTGGCGGATCTGACGGATGATGGGGCTGCCGGGAGGGCACCTCTGGTGTCCAGGCTTCCACCGAGCTGCCTGTCCCCCCCGCACTGCCCCCCCACCCCCACCCCGCACTGTCCCGAACTCACTGGGAAGATGTGCACCGCGCGATGCTCATCTTGAAGTGGTGACAGTCCCGCTGCCAGGACTCAGGCTTGGCCGCAACACACTGGCCATACTGGTCCAGTTCCCGGCCGCAGTAGCGGGCAGTGACCTCCAGGGCCGCCTGCCTGCAGGACATGGTGGGGAAGGGGGTTGTGACC